ACAGGAATTTCATCTCTTATGATAATCAGCCTCCGAAACACCCCCAGGGACATAATGAAGGTCACGCTGTCATTTTCAAAGTGATGCAGACAGATAACACCAGCCTTTTGATGTGGTTAGAAGATTTAAATGGCAGTTTCCTAAGGCCTCAGTAAATTACAGTGTCCTACGTAATGCCACGTCTATGGCTGAGATCGGCAGCACTGCTCGAGTGACTGTTCATAAACCAGGAGCTGCTCCATGTCTGCATCTTGGATATACCCTGCTTAAACTATCCCACCAATCCTAATTCATTAAGTAATTACTCTAAACCCCCAAAGAGATGATTATTTTGCTCAAATTTAGGCACAATCTGGGTTATTAAGCGATGCTCATCGTGTTGAACGGTCACCGTGATGAACTGTGCAAGGCATGGTGCCGACTTCTCAAAAGCCATGAAAATCAAATGTAAACCCAAAACCTTATCCCTATGAACTCCTTATTTGCTAATGCCACTGCAAGCTGTTCCTTGTCACATTAAATGGCAAAATAAGCAAAGATAAGTCTAAAATGTAGAATATGAGGCCAAAAAACTTACCTAGTATGAGCAGGAAATCCATAGGGATTTCTGTGAAGCTCTATCACTTCCACTGCTACATTAATCATTAATGAATCAGCGTGGGATTTGGGGTCATATCTGAATTTTCCTCTGGGGAGAATGGTGCTTTTTAGTCCCTGAATTATGGGTTAGAGCTCTTAGCCTTCATTAAGCAGCAAATTAAGTGTAATCTCCATATACAGGGCTTGCGAGCTGCTATGATGAGGAACTCGTGACTTTGCCAACAGCAGTATTTTAAGATCGTAGAATTATAGATAGCCATCTGCTGCTGTAGAAAGGAAGAAAAATAGGGAATTCCTACTATAGTAATGTCATACAGACCTTAAATTCACCTAATCACTATGTTAATATCCTGGTTTTGGCTGGGATGGAGCTAGTTTTCTCCCTAGTAGCTGGTACAGTGCTGTGGTTTGGATTTAGGATGAGAACAATGCTGATAACACGCTATGTTTAGAAGGGGAAGGTGATGGAGTGGGGAAAAGTTAGTCAGGGGAAAGTCAGTATTATCCAAAAATCAACTTTTTCTTAAAAATCCTTTGATATTTTGGGTGAAAAATCAGTGGCATCTTCATATTCTTCCCATAAACTGATTTTAGTGATTTATCTCAGCAAAAACTGTGTCTTACAACTGTGATCCTCTCAGATTTTATATGCAATGCAGAGCTAGAATTAGTTTTGCTCACTAGATAAAGCTTATCTAAAGAGCTTCACACTTGGAAAGCATTCCCAAATGTCTTAATCGTAAAATCAGAGCATCCCAGCCTGGTTTGGGGTGGAAGGGACCTTAAAGCTCCTCCAGCTCCAACCCCTGCCACGGGCAGGGACCCCTTCCACTAGAGCAGCTTGCTCCAAGCCCCTGTGTCCAACCTGGCCTTGAACACTGCCAGGGATGGGGCAGCCACAGCTTCTCTGGGCACCCTGTGCCAGCGCCTCAGCACCCTCAAACATTCAATGGTCAACTCATTCATAATCATGAAAATATTAATGAAAACTGGAGGAAAAGTCAAGTTTCCAGGAGTTTGATGGCCATCCTTGAACACATCATCCTCTTCTATCCTCCTCCTTCCCCTGCAGCCACTCACCATGGTCTGCCTTCCTCCAAAGCACTTCCTAGGGGTTGAAACAGAGCTACCCAACTTCTCCCCTCAGTTTAACACACGGTGACACATCAACATGGGCTTCTTCACCAAACCTTAACCCACCCTGTAAGTGGGAGCCAAGTAAATTCAACACTTTGAGCTTAAATTTTGTGCATTTTGGAGTTGTGGTTGAATTTAGCTTTTTTACTGGAAGATCTGGGAACCAGCACATCTTCATTTTTCCTTCTGATGAAAAGAAGCCCTACTATTGCAGTGTTTTCAATAGCACAGTGTACTATTACCAGACCTTGCGGAGATCACGAGCTTCAAACGTAGTCATTTTGGACTTGTTGTAGCAGTTTGATTCATCTCCTGGTTACTGCTTCATTACAATACACATGCTCCTTCCTTTTGAACTTTCCATCTTCAGCTTGGAGGACTGAACCTTGCTTCTTAAAGTGAAATATGGGGCATTTTTTTTTTCTACCAAGGTGTGAAAAATGCATTTAGAATGACAAAAAAGATCTTAATGTCAAGATTGTGGCCTACAAGAAAGCTGGAGAGGGGCTTTGGACAAGGGTCTGTAGGGCTAGGCCAAGGGGAATGGCTTTAACCTGCCCGAGGGGAGACTGAGCTGAGCTCTTAGGCAGAAGCTCTTCCCTGTGAGGGTGCTGAGGCGCTGGCACAGGGTGCCCAGAGAAGCTGTGGCTGCCCCATCCCTGGCAGTGTTCAAGGCCAGGTTGGACACAGGGGCTTGGAGCAAGCTGCTCTGGTGGAAGGGGTTCCTGCCTGTGGTAGGGGCTGGAGCTGGGGGAGCTTTAAGGTCCCTTCCACCCCAAACCAGTCTGGGATTCTATGAATAACCAAGACCAAACTGCATGCTATAGACAACGCCAGTACAACACACACCAACATAGCACGAATACTGAAAACCCATGAGCACTGCAGGTGAATGAAAGCTTCCAGCTGGGACGACCTCCATGGTGTTGAAGGCACACGACGCTGAGGATGGGAAGAAAGAAGAAGAGGAGGAGCAGAGGAAGCCAGCGCTCTCCAGCACTGCACACCGCACTCAGCCCTTCCAGATCCACCCCTCCCGGTGGGAACAGGCATTTCCAGTGCTGCGGCACGCGCCGGGGCAGGCGTTCCCAGTGCCGGGGCGGTGGGATGGACGTTCCCGGTGGCACAGGACCCGGTGCCTCTGCGCTGCAGTGGGATGGGGACCAGCGTCTCCAGTGTGGCCACCTACGCTGGGCAAGCGCTGCAGGGCGTCGCGGTGATGGGTGGCACCAGCAGGGCACGGGGACGGGACTGGCGCTCCCAGTGCGGTATGGTACGTGGGGCCGGGCCTTCTGCAACGGGTGCACGGTGCCTGCGCAAGGTGGGATGGAGGGATGGCTCTCTTGGACCTTGGTTGGGTGGACCATTGGGGTTGGCTTGATGTGGGGTGTGCTGGTGGGATGTGGGGTGGGGTGGAGGTGGAGGTGGGTGACAGAGGGGTGGCTGTGTTGGACCTTGGTGTGTGTTGGCAGTGGGGTTGGCCTGATGTGGGGCGTGCTGGTGGGATGTGGGATGGGTTGGCATGGTGTGGGATGGGTTGGTGTGATGTGGGATGGGTTGGCATGGTGTGGGGTGGGTCGGTGTGATGTGGAATGAGTTGGTGTGATGTGGGATGGGTTGGCATGGTGTGGGGTGGGTCGGTGTGATGTGGGATGGGTTGGTGTGATGTGGGATGGGTTGGCATGGTGTGGGGTGGATTGGTGTGATGTGGGATGCGTTAGTGTAATGCTAGACTGCTTGGCATGGAGAGGGGAAAGTTGGGTTGTTATAGTGCAGGTTGGTCTTTTGTGGGGCTGGCTGGTGTGATATGAGGCAGGTTGGCCTGATGTGGGGTCAACTGGTCTGCTGTGGGGCACGCTGGTGTGATATGGGGCAGGTTGACGTGTTGAGGGACAGGTTGACTTGTCCTGATGCAGCTTGACACAGTGTAAGGCAGGTAGACATGAGGCAGATTGGTTCATATAGAATCAACAGGGCTGGAAAAGCCCTTTAAGCTCATCCAGTCCAACCTTTACCCCAACACTGCCAAGGCCACCACTGCCCCATGGCACTGAGGCTTCATCTCCATGGGTTGTGAACACTTGCAGGGACGGTGACTGCAGCCCTGCCCTGGGCAGCCTGTTCCAATGCCTGAGCACCCTCTGGGGCAGGAATTGTTCCTCAGCTCCATCTAAACCTGCCCTGGTGCAGCTTGAGGCCGGTTCCTCTTGTCCCATCCCTTGTTCCTTGGGAGCAGAGCCCAGCCCCTCCTGGCTCCATCCTCCTCTCAGGCACTTGTAGGCAGCCATCAGGTCCCCCCTGAGCCTTCTCTTCTCCACACTGAACCCCCCAGGTCCCTCAGCCCTTCCCCATCACACTTGGGCTCCAGGCCCTGCACCAGCTCCGCTGCCCTTCTCTGGCCCCCCTCCAGCACCTCAATGTCTCTCTTGCAGTGAGGGGCCCAGAGCTGAACTCAGGATCCGAGGTGCAGCCTCACCAGTGCCCAGTGCAGGGGCACAATCCCTGCCCTGGCCCTGCTGCCGCCCTGGTGCTGATCCAGGCCAGGATGCTGGGGGCTGCCTGGGCACAAGCTGCTCACGTTCAGCTCCATCCATCAGCACCCCCAGCCTATGGACGCAATGTGGGGCAGTTAAAGCTGCTGTGGGACACGCTGGCACGGTATGGGGCAGTCCGGCTTGCTGTGGGGCCGGTATCGCGACATGAGGGTCCGGGCGTCCCCCATCAGGGTCCAGACCGCGGCGAGCCCCGCCCGCTCCCCGTTGCCATGACGACAGCCCCCGCCCACTCTCCGTTGCCATGAGGGCAGGCCCCGCCCACTCTCCGTTGCCATAGCAACTTCTCCCCCCTCCCCTCGCACCCACCCAGCAAAATATTTTCGTCCCACCACGTGATGCAAACAGCTCCCCACACGTGACGGAGCCCGAGCTGCGCCAATCAAACCCAGTCTCCTCCAATCACCAGCCGCGCCTTCACCCCGTCCTCCAATCACCAGCCGCGCCTCCGCCCGCCGTCCCGCCTTCCGGAAGTCAGCAGTCCAATCGGAGCCGGCTCCCGTGTCAACTCTTTGACAGAGGCCGCGATGATTGACGTCCCTTTTAGCCAATAATATCTCGAAGACTCACCCGTACCCCCGCCTCCTTGGGCCGCGGACCAATGATCGAGCGGGACGCCCCCTCCGTCCCGCCCCTCAGCACTGCGGTAATATGGCTCCGTAGCGAGCGGCCCGGGCCGGTGGTGCTGCCGCCATTAACCCCTGCGCGCCCGGCGGGGCCCATGTGCGGGCGCTGCCCGGCCGTTGCCGTGCCGTGAGGATGAACTCGGCCGCCGGCCCCGCCGCGCTACCGCCGGGCTCCTCTACCCGGGCCCTGCATGTGGAGCTGCCCTCGCAGCAGGTACGGCGGGGCCTCAGCGCGGGGACGGGCCCTGAGGTGAATTGGGGGGTGATCCTTGTGGAGAAGGCGGTGCTCTCTGAGGTGCGGGGTGCTCCCTGCGGTATTGGGTACCCTGAGGTGTATGGGGGTGCTCCTTCAGGTGTGGGGTGCCCTGAGGTGAAGGGGGTGCTCATTGAGATGTGTGTGTGGGGTCTCTCTGAGGTATAGGGTGCCCTGAGGTGTATGGGGTGCTCCTTCAGGTGTGGGGTGCTCATTGAGAGGTGTGGGGGGGGAGTCCTCTGGAACCCTGAGGTGTATGGGGGTGCTCCTTCAGGTGTGCGGTGCCCTGAGGTGAAGGGGGTGCTCATTGAGATGTGTGTGTGGGGTCTCTCTGAGGTATAGGGTGCCCTGAGGTGTATGGGGTGCTCCTTCAGGTGTGGGGTGCCCTGAGGTGAAGGGGGTGCTTATTGAGGTGTGTGTGTTGGGTCTCTCTGAGGTATAGGGTGCCCTGAGGTGTAGGAGGAGGTATCTCAGGTATGGAGGGGGGTGGTCCCTTAGGTATGGGGTGTAGGGGGTACTTCCTCAGGTGTGGGGCTCTCTGAGGTGAAAGGGGAGTGCTGCTTGATGCATGGGGTGCCCTGCGGTATAGGGTGGTCTCTCTGAGTTATGTGGTACCTTGAGGTTGAAGGGGGGGCTTATCCCTAGGGTGTAGGGTGCCTTGAGGTGTAGGGGGGTGCCTCTCTGAGGTATTGGGTGCCCTGAAGTGAAAGGGGGTGCTCCCTAAGATATGAGGTGCCCTCGGGTGTGTTTGGGGCACCCAGGGTTTCTCCCTGGGGTTTGGAGTACCCTGAGTTGTAGGGGAGGTGCTCCCGAAGCTATAGGGTGCCCTGCCATGTGGGGTGCTCCCTTGTTGAAAAGGGAGAGGTACTCCCTGAGGTGTGAGAGGAGTTCCCCTGCACTGATGGAAGGAGGGTCCATGGGGCAGGAGGTTTTGAGCACCCATCTCTTGGGCTGGTAGGAAGGTGATGGAGGAGTTCCCCTTTGCATGGGGCCGGGTCTGTGCCCCTCTCCTGCCTGTACTGAGAGTTGAGGGGAGGGGTTTGCTCTCCCTGCGAGGCTGCTCTGTGCCCATGGTGGTGCTGGGTGCACATGAAGCTGGGAGCTGCAGCATAGATAACACCCGGATAAACTGGGTTTAAGCTGATGAGGTGGGAGCAGCCAGGCTGCCCTCTCCTTTCCTGCACTGGCCCATAACCAGGTAGAGGGGGGTAAGCATGGATGCAGCATCCAGTGCGTTGTGGAAAGTGATGAAAGGTCCCCTCCCCATCACATCCTTCCTTCAGCTAACTTTGTTTTTCCTGTTTGCTGAGAGTTGGCTTTTGGTTTACTGGGCAGGCGTCCCATGTTTTAATTTTGGAGAGGGTTGGGAGCAAGGTTAAGTGAGGAAGTCGAGGCTCTGCGTGAGGGTTTAGCAATCTCTATCAGCCTAAAGGCTGTGCCCTTTCTCCTCTTGCATGCAGGGACTTTTATTGCATGGGAGCTTAAGTGGTCATGGTGGAGAGGGGGATAATTCCGTAGGAAAGGCTTCCTTTTCTGTAGAAACGGTGTAAGATGTGACTCTGCTTGAAGCTGTGGTTCATTTCCTCTGTGCAATTGATGTTATTAAGGAGGAGACACCGAGTTACTTGAGCTAAGCGTTACAAGGTGTGAAAATGAAGAATTACTAGAGGAAAAATCAATAGGTACCAACTTGAAATGAAGATACAACGGCTCCAGTGCTAAACGTGATTTACCATGCATCCAGAAAGAGTGAATGGAGATGACTCTGGGCCACTGGAGCTGTGCAAGTATTGACCCTAATTTGGAAGCATGTATTCACTCTAAAATGTGGGTCTAAGTTAATGCACACAAACATGACTGCTGCTTTGCATGGACTTTGCAGGGAGCAGTTCAGGGGATCGAGTATGGCTTTTTCGCTGCTGAATTCTTGCTTTTATTCTTTCCCAGGCTTGTGCAAGAACCAAGTGAATGCTGCAGGGAGAGAAGCCTCAGTTATTAGTCATTGGGCGCCGTTTGTGAAAGTGAGACCAAAACACAGCCTTTTCATTTTCTTTCCTAGGAGCAGAAACTTTTGTAGGAGCAGAAACTGAATCAGCGATTATAGGATGTCCCAGCCTAGTAAATATTTAGTTAAAGCTGTGTAGAATGCTCCTATGTGTGCTGCAGAGATGTTAATTGCACCAAGGAGAAGGCTGTGACAGTCTGGGGTATTGCTTTGCTGTGTGCTCTGCAAACACAAGGAGCCCACGTGTCTGTGTCAGTGCTTGCAATCAAATCAAGCAGCTCCAAAATTACAGTTGAAGATGCTGATAACAAATCATCCTCTTTCACTGTATTGTCTGGGCTTAAAAGTCTGTTACTGAGTTTCGAGATACCTCAAAGGGGGAATCACCCTGGAGGTGTTTCACTGCAGAATGGTGGAAAAGAATGGGAAAGTCATTCCAGTCTGTTGTACCCCTTCGATAATGCAATGATCTGGCTGATCAGCTTGGTGCTATGTAACACAAGGGGATTGTCTGCTACCTGCCAGCACAGAAATCAGCTCAGTGCTTTGTTTCAGTAAGCAGTTTTCTCTAGAACACCCAGTGCTGCATTTCTCGACAATAAGAATTGAGAGTAAAGATGGTGTGAGTCATGGCTATAAAACTTCTTAAAGACCGAGTTCTCAATGTAGACTTAGGGTGAGGGCTTGTAATAACTGAAGGGACTTGTTAAAGACTGAGGTATTGAGGGTATTATTTGTGTTTAGTCTGGATTTAGTAGTGCCAGTGAAATTCACATTGATTAGAAAGCAAAGCTCAGGAGTGAAAAGTCATGTGCAAACCCTTTTGCTTATGTCTGACTAACCTGTTCTTTAACTTGTTCCTTGGTGACTAGATGACCTGGCCTAAGAACTCCTTTTGCTGTTGCCCTCTACATTTAAAATGGGAGAAATATGGCTGTAAAGAAATGGATCTAGTTAAGCATAGAATTTGAATTTGTATCCCTAATTGTGCCAGGATGTAGTTTTCCTTTGCTGAAAGAGTGAGTCTAACAGAACTGAAATAATTACACTTAAAAGGAGAGATGGATTCTTTAGCATTATCTCCTCCTAGTTGCTTGATGCAAGGCCAGGAGTGCCATGATAACTTATGGTTTTCTAACTGCTCAAACCTGGCACTATAAGCAGGAGAAAGCAATGGAGATTGAGGGAGCCAAACCTTTCACGCTCTTCTAGATAGAAGGAGTTGGATAAAAAATGCAGTCTTAACATTGAGACAGTCATGCTGCAGTCAAATGATCTGTTGAATGTTACTGTGCCAACTGCTGACCAAAACAGATGTCATGTGTGGTTTTCTAGAGGCAGGAAAGCACATCTTCATCGACCTTAGAGCACTGCCCTAGCACTTCAAGCTTTTCCTTTATGCTGAAGCGCTGAAGAGACTGAGGCTCTTAATGAACTGAGAGACAGTGTTTGAAGACCCTCAAGCTTGAACATGTAACTGTTGTACAGACAGCTTCACTGAGGCACAGTTTGTAATGAGCGATTAGGGAACAGTGAAGAAAAAAGAATGATCAGGTCGAGGAAGGGTATTCTGCCCCTCTGCTGCACTCTGCGAGACCCCCCTACAGTCTTGATCAGCTCTGAGGCAGCAGCACAAGAGGGACGTGGAGCTGTTGGAGTGAGTCCAGAGGAGGCCGTGGAGATGCTGCAAGGGCTGGAGCAGCTCTGCTCTGGAGCCAGGCTGAGAGAGCTGGGCTGGGGCAGCCTGGAGAAGAGAAGGCTCCTGAAGGGGAGACCTGAGAGCAGCTCCAGTGCCTAAAGGGGCTGCAGGAAAGCTGGAGAGGGGCTTGGGAGAAGGGCCTGTAGGGCCAGGCCAAGGGGAATGGCTTTAACCTGCCAGAGGGGAGGCTGAGATAAGCTCTTAGGAAGTGGTTTAATTTAGTGGTAAATGCTCCATCTGTGGGAGTGTTCAAGGCCAGGTTGGACACGGGCTTGGAGCAAGCTGCTCTAGTGGAAGGTGTCCCTGCCTGTGGCAAGGAGTTGGAACTGGATGAGCTTAAGGTCCTTTCTGACCCAAACCATTCTGTGATTCTGTGACTATAGAAGTGAAGATTCTGTGCACTCTGTAAAATACAATAAATCATGCAGGGGAGTTGGAACTTGATGGTCTTAAGGTCCTTTCCAACCCTAACTATTCTATGATTCTGTGATTCCATACCTTTAAAGAAATCGTATCTACTAAACATTTAACAGTCTTTGAGCTCTTGGCATTTTAGTAATACCATGAACTTAACATCCCTGCTTCAGAAACTGGCATTGCTGCCCTGTTTGATCCCAGGATGCAAAGGAATGCTCATGAGTCAAGTGAACTTGAAAGCAAAAGATGTTTCTCCTTTTGAAAGTACTTCTGGAAAGAGCTTCCTAAGGAGAATAAGAAATAGTGCTTCTGAATTGTAGTGCTTCTGGATTTCAACAATAAATAAACCAATGTTTTCAGTAGTTGGAAATGGTAATCCAGGACCTTGGATACTTGAAGCGATCCAAGCAAGTAGAGGTAAAGCAACAGGAGAAGAATATGGGTGGATTACAACAAGGCTAAAATTTCTTAGTTATTTGCTCTAAGAATGCAAATCATTCACAGCAGAGTGGGTAATGTGGCAGAAATGGGTGATTTTAATGGCTCTGGCAAATGGGTTTGAAAGGTTTTGTAGTAGAAGTGAAGAAATCTACCATGGCTGTGGACTGCATCTGAACTAGTTTTTCATCTATATCAGTGTGAAAAGAGCATCTTCTTGTCTGAAATAGTTCTATATACCCATTGTTACACATTCCACTGAGTAATATGAAAACAAAGACTGACTCTTAAATACTTTACTTCCCCTTTCCTACTAAATCTGCTGGGGGAAATCAAGAGTAGTGGCTGGAAAATGTCATGGTTGAATACTGCTTTCACTTCTTGTTGACATGCACTGTCTTTAACCACTGAGACAGACGGAAGTGCAGCTCCAGTAAACCACCACCACATGAGTGTTGACCTGGTGATCTTCTACAATTGTATCCATGTCTATAGAGCTCGTTAGAGGCAGTTAGGAGGAAACAGTTGTTAAAGTTACTGTAAAATAGTAATTGTAGCCCAAAAGGTTGGGTGACAATCTGGGGCTTGGGTTTTGCTATCTGCACTATATATAGAATCATAGAATAGTTAGGGTTGGAGTGAACCTTAGGGTTTAAGATCACCTCGTTCCAACCCCCCTGTATTTTCTTTAAGGAATGCATGTGTGTTTTACAGGCTGAGTAATCTGTTGATAGCTGGAGTACTGTGGATGCACTTGGAGTATGCATACAGTTCTGGTGTCCTCAACATAAGAAGGACATGGTGCTGTTGGAGCAAGCCCAGAGGAGGCCATGAGGATCATCAGGAGCTGGAGCAGTTCTGTATGGAAACAGGCTGAGAAGACTGGGGCTGTTCAGCCTGGAGAAGTTGCATGGAGACCTCAGAGCAGCTTCCAGTGTCTGAAGGGGGCTTCAAGGATGCTGGAGAGGGACTCTTCATCAGGGACTGCAGTGATAGGACCAGGGGTGAAATAGAGAAGGTTTAGGTTGGGTATAAGGCAGAAGCTCTTCCCTGTGAGGGTGCTGAGGCGCTGGCACAGGGTGCCCAGAGAAGCTGTGGCTGCCCCATCCCTGGCAGTGTTCAAGGCCAGGTTGGACACAGGGGCTTGGAGCAAGCTGCTCTAGTGGAAGGGGTCCCTGCTCGTGGCAGGGGTTGGAGCTGGAGGAGCTTTAAGGTCCTTTGCAACTCAAACTAGTCTGAGATTCTGTGATTAAGTCAGGCCCTGTTCAGTCAGAAAGCTGTAGTAAATCGGCTTTGATGCTTTATTCAGGAGATTTGTGGGGGGTTAGGGAATACCCTTAATTGAAGGAAGGGTTGGTAGCTGGTAACTAAAGACACTTTCCTTATGATGAGGGGGTTTCCTCTTTGCCCTTGGTTTGTCATCCAGTAACATGATAAACATGAATATGCTTCAAGGTGTTAATCAGCAATCGCTGTTTGCTTGTGCAGCTTGGTGCATCCTTAAAATCAAGTGGTTCCTTAAGGTCAGAAGTGCCTTTGCTTTGATTTTGTTGATGCTTTATCCCAGAAGACCCTGCTTACTTTTTGGGTCCTTCTCTCTGAGCAGCATCTTGTTTTCCATTGCTGGATTGGTGTTCTCAGTTTGCTCCCACAGCTAATACAGACTAATGCTCTCTTACCTAAGGTGATGTTAAGAGCCTTCGTAACATGTGAAGAGGCTTCTACAGCATGTTATTAATGATGTGGAACTTGCACCCTGATGTTCTTTTGTCTTCCCCGTGGTGTAGTTCAAATGTTGTGTCAAAGAAGCAGTTGCAGTTCTAGTCTTTCATCTTGCAAGTGAGTAAATATTTATTTAGACTGACTCAAAGGAAAACCTCCTTTAAGGAAAGATGCTATTTCTAAAGGGTCTTGGTTTAGGACGGTAAGACTGTGTATCTTGTTCCTTGTTATTCGTATCCTATCTAAACTCCCTGCCAGAGGAGCTTTGTCTGTCAAAACAGTCAGTTCAGATTTTCTTAACCCCAGTTTAGAGCAAGTTCTTTTAGGGTGTGCTGACAGTTTTTATTCTTCAGGGTTGTGGTGGCTGCCAGCTCTTGGTGTGTCTCTCTTGATGTTGTAGTGACCATAACCAAACGCAGCTGTTGAAACAATACACACTGCTTCATTTGCCTTGGTCCCTGCATGGGCTTATAACTTGGCTTTTAAACCCTTCCTGCTAACGTTACATTGAAGTACAGTCTGTATTGTGACTCTTTCAAAAGCTATCCTGTTTGTATCCTAAGCTGTCTTCTGTACCTGTTCCACCTTATGTTTTAAATAACAGGCTCTTTCAGTCTTTCTGCGGCATTGACCACACATCTTGCTTGTGGAAAGAAGGATGAGGATGCAGAAATCAAGTGAAGAGTGTGGACACCGTGGGCTTGCATTGAAGATCATGTTTGGTCTTGGTTGTCTCATTG